GCATTCCGTCAAACCCCAAAGGGCTCAGTAATTCAACTTGTATTGTTGTTATCGTAGGGACAAATTACTGATCCCTTGGGGGCTTGACGGAAGCGAGACCGTTGACATGACAAACGCGACTTTGTTCGGGTCAATTTCTTCTCGTTCGTCAAGCTTTGCAAATTACTGGTGTTTAAGAGATAAAGGCTGTTGTATTGGATTTGCGAGATGCGCGCTGGGGAAGAAGGTGGTTGGTCCCTCCAGGATGCTTCATGTCTCAGCCGGGTGGCCCGACAGGCTTGCTAAATATAAATAGATATGTGGTTCATATACCCACCCTGGCGGACGGTGGGACCGTCCATCGCGGACGGTCCGCCGGACCGTCGACCGTCCGGCACAGCTTTCCGGACACACATATCAACACATACCAACATATTTTTGCACGAAGAAAAAAATCATTTTATTGTAGTTTATCCTGGTGCTCGCGGCGCGCGCGGGCGTGGAGCGCGCGCAGAGATTCCTTGCGCAAGCCGGCAGCACGGCATGCAAACTGCATCTGGATGAGCCCTTTACCGTTGCAACTTGCTGATCATATAGTAAATTGAAGTTTTATAATATTTTCATGGATAATACAATGCAATGTGCAATACTGGGGGCTACGTAGATGCAAACGGTAGGCGCCAGCGAATGCATGAAATGTAAACAAAGCTAAAACAAGCATTCGGCTAAGTCAATTAGTTAGGAGCATATTTATCTGGCAGTTTGGGGCCTGACTTGGACCACAGAAATGGGCGACCTGTGTGCCTGGGACCCTGTGTGTCTGAGAGCCTGTGTGCCTGGGAGGCTGGGATTCTGAGAGGCTGTGTGCCTGGCAGTCTAGGATACTGAGGGCCTGTGTGCCTGGGAGCCTGGGATTCTGAAAGCCTGGGAATCTGGGAGTCTGGGAACCAGGGAGCCTGGGAACCTGGGAGACCGGGATTCTAAGAGCCTGGGAATCTGGGAGCCTGGGAACCAGGGAGCCTGGGAACCTGGCAGCCTGGGATTCTGAGAGTCTGTGAACCTGGCAGCCTGTGTGCCTGGGAACCTGTGATTCTGAGAGCACGTGTGCCTGGGAGCCGTTGCTGAAAGCTGTCACGTGGTTAACCAACCTCTGCTATTTAGCTTCCATTGGCGCAAGGAACGCCACCATACATTAGGAGTTCAAATCCCTTATGAAATGGTGTTATCTTGAGTTGTGAATCCTAATGCGTACCACTTCGGTGTCGTTTATTCGAGCGTCTTTCGCACATACTGTTACACAACTACTGAATTCTCCCGCTGTTACACCCAGATACAAATAATGTTGTACAGATCCTTTGTCGTGTTCGCCACGTTTCCGGGGCAAGGTTTACAACCTGCCAGGACGCTGGGCAACGGGGGATCGCATGTTCGAGGACGCCCAATTGGACGAACCACCACCATTTACAGTGGGCTCACGCGGCCAGCAGGCAGCGTGGGTGTCAACGGCTGGGCTAACGCGGCAGGCTCCTGCAGCAGGCATACGACCTACCCCGGCTCTGTCAACCGGCCCCCTTCAGGCACTGGCGGTGTGATGCGCCACAGCAACTACCGGACACCGGCTTAACTACCACAAGTCACGAAGCCGAGAGCGTTTTCCCCAAGGTTAGATCTAGCTAGTACGATCGCGCTTGGACTGCTTGCGAGGGCAGATGTGGCCGGGCAGTTTCGTGGACCTCGCGCATCGACTGCTTGTGAGGCCGTTCGGGCCGGCAGTTGTTTGGATCTCGCACATCAACTGCTTGTGAGGCCGTTCGGGCTGGCAGTTTTTGTGGAATTGCGCATCAACTGCGTATGAGGCCGTATGGGCCGGGCAGTTTCGTGGACCTCGCGCATCGACTGCTTGTAAGGCCGTTTGGGCCGGGCAGCTTTTTGGGACTCCATGCATCGACGGCTTATGCGGCCGTATGGGCCGGGCAGTTTGGACTTCGCGTATACATTGCTATGCGGCCGTATGGGCCAGGCAGTTTTTTGGACTTCGCGCATAGACGGCTCATGCTGCCGTATGGGCCGGGCAGTTTTTGGATCTCGCGCACCAATTGCTTAAGGTTACTAACGGTTCCGATATTCTTCTCCCCTGCTTGGAGCCGGTAAAGACCGACAGCCGACAGCTATAGGCTGGAGGGGCCAGTAACATCCCACACAAGCTGCTTATGAGGCCGGATGTGGCCAGCAATTTTGGACACTCGCTGTGCTTAGGCTGGATGTGGCCAGAAGTCTCTTGTGAGAAGAGTTCTAATACTGTCCTTCTGCACTGTGGTTATGGCCGGATGTGGCTCACAGTTGTGACTACTTTGGCAGCCGACAGTTACGCACCCCAACCCCGCAAAGGGTACATACTCAAGTGACTGCGGTAGGGTAAAGAGGCTACAAGACCCATTAAATCGATCTGTCGTGCCCTACAGTGTGGGCAGGCTTAAATCACCTTTGGTGCTAAAGCTGCGCGGGTATGCAGAAACCCAATTTCCTTCCTTGCCCCCACTTCACATCAGCTACCCAACCATCCAACATGAGTGCCCACTCCGGGCAAGCACAAGAAGACGGCGCACTGGTTCCATACTCCCGCTTCATCACACCAGTTTTCCCCCCTTCGTGCTTTGCGTACCTTGCCGCCGCGTCTCCAGATCTTAACACACACTACATATACAAGATCTTCCTTGGTGCCCAGCGAACAGGACATGGCTACTAATTCATTGCCATTCAAGGGAACCTGTTCATGCGCGTTTGCAGACACGCGTTCGTCTACCGAACGACCTTGTCCCGCTATTCAATGAAGGAAGAGGCTTATTTAAGAAGGATTGGCCCCTTTTCCCGTCTCCTGACCGGCGGTCTGCAACAACCAGCGCGCCCGGCCGCACATCGGCGGGGGGTTGTGCCACGGAGGATCACCCGAAAAGTCATACAGCTTCGACCACTGTGGTCGTCACCAGTCATTGCATCTTCGTCGAGCCCGATCTTATGTACGCAGCAATAGCTCAACACCATCGCAATCGGCAACAAGACCAAGTCTAAGGTCACTCTTTGGCTCAAAATATAGCGATCACTCAGCAGCACTGATCATACCAGCGCGTCAAACGCAAGTTTGTCCTACAGATGCCGGAACGGCCCCGAGTCGGCCGACACAAGTGCACCATAGGAGGCGTGACACGGCAAGCTGGTGCCCGCAACCAAGGTGTCCGCATTTTCCCGGAGGGAACACCGGTAACGACCGGCCCTGAACAAGTGCACACCAGGCGCGGGGATGACAGGAGAGTTGTCCCCGACATTGAAGGTAAGGAGGGCCGGGACGAGCTTGCAGCGTGCAGACAAACCTGAGTCCAACCAGCCATCACAGATGAGGGCCCGGTTGAAAGCCAAAGCAGCATGTTGGAAGTTAATTACGCAGTCCCGCCTGGTCATGGCATGGGTACTGTTCGGTTTCCGCTGTTGTGCGAAGCACCCTACAGCCTGACCAACCGTTGGCCTAACAGCAGACTGAATTTTGCGATCACCGAACTGGTCGCAACTGGGGCGGCACCACGAGTCGACTGCCAACTGCGCTGCGTATTGCCCCTCGGTTTTGTTCCTAAAACGGGCCACTCCCAAATTCCGCCTAATTTCTGATGCACGTTATGTTATATTATCGAGCACCTTGTGGTGCCGAGCTACAGGTATAAGCCCCGTGGGATGCTTGTGGGAAGTGCCGCAACCACACGGCTATCTGCCCACCGTGTCTCAGAAGTCCGGCTATCACCACATTGATATGCACAAGGCAGCTCGGCAATTTTAGGCTTTGCACAGCAAGGGCGATTTTCCCCAGTTTGTGCAGTGCCAAGTAGGCTGGCACCAGCCTGTTGGGGTTTTTTCGCACACCGGGGTGCGGGCGCCCTACCAGCGGCGAGAGCGGGTTCTCACCGACTTGGATAACGTGGGATCATTAACTGACCAGGAGTGACCAGGAATGCCCTTTCGAACCGGAGCAGTGAACGGAGTACTTGGGGGCGGGTTGACACCATCAACGGCTCATTTCGTACCGAAAGGATGAGACCCACAGCGCAGAGGACGGTTGAACCTGCGCAGCGTTCAACAGCTGTACTCCCTACTGGGTGCACGAGGTCACGGACCTTTCGGGCATGTTGCTTTCGCTGCCCCAATGTGGTACGCAATTTTACCGGTCCAGGTCTGGTCCTACCGCCGGCTGTCGGAGTCGCCAAATATTGCACGTTTCTTTGCAGTCTAGGGTGGGTTCAACTCCTTTGGCAACCTACCCATGCGCACTCATTTGCCATCCACACAGAGGCTGTTCCGAGTTTTCGTATGGCGGCTGGGGTGGTTGGTCCTTGAGGACGGTGCCCTTGCTGTGGGCCGATGGGTTCGGAACTGGAGGGTCCATCTCAGACTCCTGGAACTGTCGGCGATATTTAATGTGTTACCGAGCCTCATTCGGCAGGGGTGCTTGGACGCCCAGCGGGTGCTGGTGACAATCCAAGCCAACTTGCTAAAGACTTGATGATCCAAAGGTGGATCCCTTGTGGCCATGCTCATGACGCGTGCGCACTACTGCTCTGGAAATAGGGCTTGGATCTCTTAGCGGATTGTTTCCCTCTTGATTCGCGGACGCGCTCTTCAAGGGGCATGGCACTTTCGTTTGGCTGCTAAACCCTGCCTTGTTTGCACAACTGGCCAGACCATGGGGTCACGAAGATAATTTTGCAGTTGCCTTATTCACATCGACAGCAGTCACCTAATGCTTCCCCTTACAGTTTTCACCAGCTACCGACATGCGACAGGGTGCGAATATCGCTGGGTGGTGTTTCCGCCGTTCGCAATCAACGGACAAGCCCTGGTGCATGCAACCGCCACCATGCCCGGCTTTGGTTCATCATGCCTCTCGGGCCTCATGCAACCTGGTGGCCCAATTCAATAAAATCCATAATAATAGTCATCATATCATAGTAATAATCACAACAGTAGTAGCAGCAGTAGCAGTAGCAGTAGTAGTAGCAGCAGTAGCAGTAGTAGTAGCAGCAGCAGCAGTAGTAGTAGCAGCAGCAGCAGTAGCAGCAGCAGCAGCAGCAGCAGCAGTAGTAGTAGCAGCAGCAGCAGTAGCAGCAGCAGCAGCAGTAGCAGCAGCAGTAGCAGCAGCAGTAGCAGCAGCAGTAGCAGCAGCAGTAGCAGCAGCAGTAGCAGCAGCAGTAGCAGCAACAGCAGCAGTAGTAGCAGCAGCAGCAGTAGTAGCAGCAGCAGCAGTAGTAGTAGTAGCAGCAGCAGCAGCAGCAGTAGTAGTAGCAGCAGCAGCAGTAGTAGTAGCAGCAGCAGCAGCAGTAGTAGCAGCAGCAGCAGTAGTAGTAGTAGCAGCAGCAGCAGCAGTAGTAGTAGCAGCAGCAGCAGCAGCAGTAGTAGTAGCAGCAGCAGTAGTAGCAGCAGCAGCAGCAGTAGTAGCAGCAGCAGCAGTAGTAGTAGCAGCAGCAGTAGTAGCAGCAGCAGCAGCAGCAGTAGCAGCAGCAGCAGCAGCAGTAGCAGCAGCAGCAGTAGCAGTAGCAGCAGCAGCAGTAGTGATAGC